ACTACTACTACTACTACTACGGCTATCACTATTACTATAGGGCTTGAGGGGCAAGGGTTTGCCACGGGGCTCAGGAAACCCTTTTAACGCTCATTATGACGAGCCTTATAGACTATAGAATATGGAACTTCATTCAGAAGACCCCGTAACATAAAAACTTTGAAAGGAAGCCTCAAAGGAGCAGCCGCCCTCACAGGATCCTGTAAAGCCCTACTTACTAAGTCCCTTGACGCTGCTTCCTAAACCACCCCAAACCCCAGACCACTAAATCCCTAAACCCTGAAGTTCTGGCTCTAGTTCTGGAAGGCACTGAACGTCCTGGATGCCGAGCGCTTGCAGCAGCTGGACCGGCAGGGTTGTCGCTTTTGGGTTTGAGGGTGAGGGTTTAGGGTGTCTATTGGGGTCTAGGGTTTGGAGTGTAGGGGCTGGAGCACTCGGATTTCTCAAAGCTTCGGGGGTTTCGGTGTTTTAAGGTGTCAGGATTCACATATCCCGGCATGCGGTCCCCATATGAACATCTCTGCATAGCTATCTCTCTGTTAGAGTTTAGGGTTTAGGGGATTCACCCGTTGGGCAAATGCGTTTGGGCCTTTGGACACTTGGTCGTGGTAGCTTTGCAACAGATGAGAGTACTGTTGCAGTAGGATAAAATTACTAATGCCCGTCCAGTAAGCCTTCGCCCGTAGAAACCCTGCAAGAACCAAGGCATAACATTCCATACACATTTAACAAGACTACCATAGGGGCCCGACTAATTAGAATAGGCTTTTGGGGCCCATTATGCTATAGTTATAATCAGGAACCCCTTTTAATAATATTGGTAATGTTTTTTGGCTTCTAGACTAAGTTCATCTGTCTGAACATGTACAAAGCCATAAAAGTTCGGACCAAAAGGGTGCTGCAGGGGCTAGTAGTGATATCCGCTCGTAGTCCTTCTTCATAAGAAAAATTTCTCATGCATCAAAAGACAAGTTTTAATTACTACGGCCCTTAAACTCTAACAGTCTACAAAACCTAGAAGCCCTAAAGCCTTTCAATTCAAGGGAACCCCTACGGAGACCTACACTAATTTCCGAAGCCCTTATAATGAAACCCTTGTCGCAACCTTTCAAGTCAACTTACAGAACCCTTTAAAGGCCCGTAAGGAAGCCTTCTTCTTCGCATTATTGTTGTTACTAATGTTATTTCTATCATTACTACAGCTATGGTTAGTCTTATTGTTACTGTTATTACAGTCTCTTTACCTAAACCCTAAACCCTAAAGCCCAAACCCTGAACCCTAAACCCTAAAGCCTAAACTCTATGAACCCTAAACCCCAAACCCTAAACCCGAAACCCGAAACCCCCAACCCTAAAGCCTAAAACCCTAAACCCTAAACGCTAAAACCCAAAAGCCTAAACCCTACAACCCTAAACGCTAAAACCCAAAAGCCCAAGTCAGAGGACCAAGTCTCCAAAGCTTGCAGCGACCTCGCCGAAGCCCGGAGAGGCGAGAACGTAACTTCAGGAGTTCTAGGATTTAGGGCTTTTGGGTTCTAGGGTTTAGGCTTTTGGGGGGTAGGGTTTTGGGTTTTGGGGTTTAGGGTTTTCGGATTTAGGGTTTAGGGTTTAGGGCTAAAGTATTTACCTTCTTAGGGTTTAGGATTGTGGGGTTTAGGATTTAGGGCTTTAGGGTTTTAGGGTTTAGGGTTGTCGGGTTTAGGGCTCTAGTATGTAGGGCTTAGAGTTCCAGGACTTTGGGTTTTAGGGTTTAGAGTTGTAAGGTACAGGGTTTAGGGCTCCAGTATTTAGGGTTTCGGGTTCTAGGATTTAGGGTTTTGGGTTTCAGGATTTAGGCTTTTAGGGCTTCGGGTTGTGGGTTTTGGGGTTTAGGGTTTTGGGATTTAGGGTTTAGGGTTTAGGGCTAAAGTATTTACCTTTTTAGGGCTTAGGGTTGTGGGGTTTGGGGTTTAGGGCTCGGTTTAGGTTTCTAGTTTAGGGTTTAGGGTTTTGGGCTCTAGTATTTAGGGTTTAGGGTTCTAGGATTTAGGGTTTTAGGGTTTGAGGGTTGTAGGGCTTTAGGGTTGCAGGGTTTAGGGCTTTGGGGTTTTAGGGTTTTAGGGTTTAGGATTTAGTCCGGGGTTTTAGGGTTTAGGCATTAGGGTTTAGGGTTTTAGAGTTTAGGATTTAGGGTTCAGGAAATTTCAGGGTTTAGGATTTAGAGTTTCGGTTTTTGGGGTTTGGGATTGAGGCTTGAGGGTTTAAAGTCTAGGGTTTGGGATTTAGGGTTTAGGGTTTAAGATTTGGGGTTTAAGGGTTTAGGGTTTAGGGTTTTGATGTCGGATGAACTTTAAGGGTGCTTGGGTTTGACTACAGCTAGAAGTTTGGGGATTTGGGATTATGGCAAGGTTCAGAGTTTAGGATATGTAGGGTTTAGTTCCGTGCGGCTTCGGGTGTGACGGCAGTTTAGGGTTCAGGGTTTAGGGATGACGAATAGATAAGATGAGGCTCGCAATAATTACGATAGCATCCCTTGTTGTAGTCTCGATTTCTGCTACAAGGCCCTATTCCGACCTTCGGCGAATTGACAAAGATCCTGTTTCTGCGGTGTTTCAGCTCGCTAGGTTTCGGGATCGGGGTGTACGCGGTTTGGGATGTTTAGGGTTTAGGGTTTAGGGTTTAGGGTTTAGGGTTTAGGGTTTAGGGCAGCTTGCAGGGTTTAGGGTTACCAGCGGTTGATTTTTTGTTTGTAGCTGCCTTGGCTCAAACCTTTACTGAGTACACCCTCCCGATCCTCCAAGGAGTATTTCGAAAGCGGCTATAATCGCCATAGCTATGACAATCATAACCACAATCTTAAGAGCACTATCCATGCCTAACCCTGTTCTAACTTCTTCGTTTTTATATTCGATGAAGGATAAGCCCTACACCCTTAACCCTAAATCCGCCTCTTCACACCTTCCGATTGCTGTGCTGGGTGGTAAGCTCTGCCTGACAGGGCTCTAAAGGTCGCCCTTGAGGGTTTTTTGGGGTTTAGGGGTTTGGGGGGTTTAGGGGTTTTGGGACTTAGGGGGGTTTTGGGGTTTGAGGGGTTTGGGGGTTTATGGAAGCCGAAGCTGCAGCAACCTTGAAAAAGCTGGGTCGTGGAAATGCCAACCGACTTCTGTGGTTTTGCATCCTCGTGTGACAAGCTGTTTGACATTAGGGGACTTGGCTACATTTGTACTCTGAGTCAGAAAGCGGACCTTTCTTTGGGCTTCGGCTGCTTTGCTGCGAGGAGTGTCCAGAACTCTTTGCTGGAATGGTCTGTGCATGCTCTCACTTCGCGGACTGTGAACAGCGACAATGGCCGATGCCGGCACCTGCCTCCTGGGTCTACCCGAGACTCTCAGTCGCACTCGTGTTTATGTCTCAGCGACACCTTGTGCTGCTGAAGTAGTACGTCTGCTCAGCAGCCAGCACAGGAAGTGGTCCTGGCCCAGATCGGGTACGAACTGGCAGTCATGAGGATCGTGCAGTACATGTCCAGCAAGATTCACCAGGTCTATGGCACGCGACTCGGAGAGCATTTCCTGGACTTTGGCCTTTGGGAGGAAGAGCGGGCTGCAGGACGGTCTGAGAGAAGGGCTCAACTCCTGAAGACGTGCGGGCCTCCGGAAACA